TGTATATGTTCCATTCTATGCATCCGAAGAAGTGGGCTGTAGCCCACGAAAGCTTATGCTCAAATAAATGTGTTAGTCTCTAAGGTGCCACAAGTACTCCTGTTCTTTTTGGAGTTATTTTAGAAATCTTTGGAGTAATTTTAGATAGCAGGTGATCAGCAGCTGGGGGATTTACTCAAGTATTATGGAGCAGCCATATCTGATCCAAAGTAAAGGGAGAAGCAAGCTTCCCATTGTAAGTGCCCATGTCTGAGCAAAGCAGCATGGAAACTGAGCACCTTGCAGGAATATGCTGCTCACCAAAGAGTAAGTTAAGAGCTATTTATTTCTCACTCCTGGCTGAAGCAAGCTATCCTTTGCTTATTGTTTTTTGTTTGCTTGACCCGGCTGAAGAAAGCCCCAGAACTAACTCTTCATACATTAGGCCAAAGCAGAACAATGCTCTGTGCTTCAAAAAGTGGCAGGATGCAATATTTCTCTTTAAACTTGTTCTCCCCGTTGCCTACACAGAGAACAATGTCTTAAATAATTTGTAAACTTTTCTAAATATAAACTAAGCTGCTACCGATTCCAGGCTGTGCTGCCCTAGCTGCTGACTCAAGCCTAGAGGTGTGTGTTGGGAGAGCATAGAGCCTGAAGTGGCAGAGCACTGCAGTAAGTGAGGAAGCATTAGACTGAGTGAGGAACTGTCTGGATTCCTTAACTCTTCATTTCCAGACTATTTTTAAGTGCACAGCTTTTCAAAGGAAGTGGGTGAGGTCCTTTTGGGGGGTGCTAAGTGTTTTGATGGTGGTCACTTTCAACTAGCTTTGTGTAGAATGAAGTTTTTGTTGTTCTAAATGTGTTATTTGAGAGACTGTGTAGTCTGGGGTCAGAAGCACTGGGGGGGAGAAGTCAGGATTTCCTACATTTTAATCCTGGCTCCGTGTAACCTTGGCCAGGCTACTTCCCCACTCGTCCTCATCAGTAAAGTGGGATAACACCTACCTAACCACGAGAGTTATTACTTAGGAAATGTTTACACAGCATGGTCTATAGTGTACAATACTATTTTTTTCAGGAAGAAATTCTGGCCCAATATAAAGCTGAGAACGGTGCAGAGACAGAATGGTAAGTCTGTTATGAGGCAAGTACACTATCAAGCCAAGATGTTCTTGATAAATCTAATTGATAGAAAACTAGTAATGTTCAAACAGTAGTATGGCAAAGTGAAACAGTCCTGCTATTTTTCAGATACACTTAAAGTAATGCAAATGAAGAAGCTAAATACAACCTGAAAATCATTTTTACTACATGCACTTCAATGAAGTAGAAGAAAAGATCATTGCTGGCTAGCAATTGCATTTCTGACATACCACAGATTCTTCACCAAATGTATCCTCCATGCAAAGCTAAATAGCCTGAAGAGGCAGTTACTTTGTTATTTAGGAGTGATTTCTAGTGGGAAATACTGATAGTCAAGTTAAAATCTTTAAACTGCTTTTATTCAATACTTAAAGCAGGAGTTTTCCTGAAAGTAAAATACGTTTGGTGCATTAAGGAGGAGCATGGCCCAGCAAATAATACATTGGATTGGGATTTCAGACATCAGGGTTCTATTCCCAACTCTGCCACCAACCTGCTGTGTGACCTTTGGGAAGTGATTTCACCTTTCTGTGCCTCAATTCCCCCCTCCCAGCCTTTGTTTAAACTGTAAGATCTTTCAGATGGGATGGTCTCTTACTGTGTGTTTGGACAGTGCCTACCACAATGGGGACCCTGGTCGTGGTTGGTACTACCATAATACTAACAATAAAAAAAGTATCCACTACATTAGTCAATGATCTCTGCCTTGCCCCCTACCTTTCAGTACAATGCCTTAATCAAATTGACTAGATAGAGACCTGAGCAGGCAATTGATAGTCTTACTTTGCTCTTTCCAGTAACTTTACTCCTTCTTCTCTTCTACCATGGTCCATGTATAGTAGAGCAAGTTCAAGCAGGGCATTTGGAATTAAATAATGGTCATACTTTATCTTCCTCTCACTGCAAGAGAAGGAGAAACATAGTTACAAGGTTTTCATGCTGCAATTTCCTCTCATTCTAGCTACAAACAAATAGGAGCTCAGTTGGGGTTAGGAGGGAATAGTCAATCTCTTCAATGATGCTTACTCTTCAGGTACTCTAACCTAGACTATCTCTAGGTTATTCAGTAAGTGCTCTATACATTTGCATGGCAATACATGACCATCTTCTGCAGCATGTTATTTACAAGTTTCTTAGTGGAGGGGAGGGAAATAACAAAAAAGTAGCAGTGCTGCATGCACCACCCACTTGCATTGCCAAAATGAGATGCCATTCACTATATATTGTGCAGTTATTTCAAATAGGATAGTTCTGGCAACTGATTCTTTGAGCTTGGCTCCCACTTGATTGGGCTTCAGTGTACACACAGGCTCGGATAGGTTCCTGGGGCGTGACTTCTTTATGAGTGGGTGGGGGGAAAAATAAGTGATACTAGCTCCTAAATGTCACCCACTTATGGCACCAAAGTGAGAAGTTAGCCTTACTCTGAGTATGTCTACACTAGCACTTTTGACGGTATAACTTGTGTCGCTCAGTAGTGTGAAAAACACCCCCCATAGCACATAAGTGACACCGACAGAAGCGCTGGTGTGGACAGCGTTACATTGGCAGGAGACGCTATCCCACCGACGTAGCTAATGCCGCTTGTTGGAGGTGGTTTAATTACGTCAATGGAAGAGCTCTCTCCCACGGGATACAGCGGCTACAGGAGTGATCTTACAGCGGCAGAGCTGCATTAGTACAGCTGTGCCGCTGTAAGCTCGCTAGTGTAGACATGGCCTAAATTGTGCAGTCTGTGACTCTCCCTTCCTCTTACATGAGGAATGAAATAGTTAATGTTGGTATTTAAAATCATCATCACTGGGTATCTGAGTTAATAAAATGAATGGAGCAGTTCACACCTCTCCAAGCTATTGCTCCAGGCTCTCTGCTGACTCCCTTTAGATTTCTCTTCACTGAGAAGAAAACAGCTGCATTCTTAACTCAAGTTAGCTAACGCTAGGTAAAATCCTAGTGAAGAGAAGGCAGTTTGTAGTTTTCACATGTTAGCAGGTTGAGTTAAAGGTTAGGCTCCCCGATAGGGTTTAATACAACCTGTTAACTTCATGTGAAAAACTTACAAACTGCCTTGTCTTCGCTAGGATTTTCTCACGTGTTAACTATGACACAGTACAACACACTTCACTTCACCTCCCCTCCCCTCCACCCCCCCAGGTGAAGACTAAGCTTTAAGTGCCATTAAACTTGGGTTTAGAATTTAATTATTTTTGTAAGGGCAAAGGGCATGGATTTGTTTTGTTCAGAAGGTACACAATGGGTCAGTGCCCTATGAAAACAAAAAAACTCACTTCCACTGCATATGTAAAGCCAAATTCTTAGGTCCTGTCTATGTTAAGAAAATGTGCACCGTTCTAATTATGTCAACATAGCCACTTCGGTATGTTACCAGGTTAAGCTGTGCCAGTGCAGCATGTTTATGTTAAGCATCTATACCAATATAACTAAATTAATATAGTTACATCAGTGCTAATGTCCTTAATGTAAATGGGGCCTTAGGGAACGGAAGAGCAATTGGAGAGTGTAATTTAATTACCCGGGAAAGCTTCACTTAGTACTGTATCTAATTCATAATGAGGTTTTTCTACCCAATTTTACAGTGACTTGACTGAGGAATATTGAGATTCAGATCCCAATCCCACAACTTTTTCCATGGACGCAGCTGTCTCCAACTACGCAGAGCTTCCATAGGGTGTGGGAATCTGCACACAGAACAAATTCCGGGATCGGGATGTAAGAGAGCAACAGCCAGCCTAGGAATCATTTTGGTTCTAAAGTTACATACACCCCAAAATAAAGGTTTCTAATAGAAGAGCTAAGAGAATCTTAACTATACCATCACAGATACTTTAGAAAGGTACAATTAAGGCTTGTCTTCCTCAACTGCTCTTTTAAAATTCCTCTCACAGAAACCCCCAACCAGTCCTAGGTCTTACTCAGCTGAATTAAAATATGGTTCTCCTCTGACAAATGAATAAAAATGGGACTGTGTGTGCGTGCGGGGGGGGAGTGGGGAGAGCACATTTACTGCATTTCAATGGTTCTATATCAAACATGCTCAATTACATGTAAGTTTTTTCTAACTTCCAGCCTTGCAAACTCAACCTGTGCTCTTCAAGTCAAGCTGGGTTCTTAGAATCATAGAATATCAGGGTTGGAAGGGACCTCAGGAGGTCATCTAGTCCAACCCCCTGCTCAAAGCAGGACTAATCCCCAACTAAATCATCCCAGCCAGGGTTTTGTCAAGCCTGACCTTAAAAACCTCTAAGGAAGGAGATTCCACCACCTCCCTAGGTAACCCATTCCAGTGCTTCACCACCCTCCTAGTGAAATTTTTTTCCCTAATATCCAACCTAAACCTCCCCCACTGCTACTTGAGACCATTACTCCTTGTTCTGTCATCTGCTACCACTGAGAACAGTTTAGATCCATCCTCTTTGGAACCCCCTTTCAGGTAGCTGAAAGCAGCTATCAAATCCCCCCTCATTCTTCTCTTCTGCAGGCTAAACAATCCCAGTTCCCTCAGCCTCTCCTCATAAGTCATGTGCTCCAGCCCCCTAATCATTTTTGTTGCCCTCCGCTGGACTCTTTCCAATTTTTCCACATCCTTCTTGTAGTGTGGGGCCCAAAACTGGACACAGTACTCCAGATGAGGCCTCACCAATGTCAAATAGAGGGGAATGATCACATCCCTCGATCTGCTGGCAATGCCCCTACTTATACAGCCCAAAATGCCGTTAGCCTTCTTAGCAACAAGGGCACACTGTTAACTCATATCCAGCTTCTCGTCCACTGTAACCTTTAGGTCCTTTTCTGCAGAACTGCCGCCTAGCCATTCAGTCCCTAGTCGGTAGCAGTGCATCCATCTTTTCATACATCATCCACAAAGACTGTGCAGACCAAAAAGTATGCCCTGTGCAACACCTGTGAATCCTCATCACCTTCAATAGGTTTCTTATGTGAATTCAGTGAACAATTCTGTTGATGGTGCACAAGAAATAACAGAATTCAGCTCACACTCTGTTAGTTGTGTTGACTCTGCAGAGCTAGCAGAAGTAGAAAAGCACTTTGGTCCCTAAAGTCAGCAGATATCTGTATACACATGGATTGTAGATTTGCTAAGCAAAATGGTACCACTGTTACACAGCTATTTTAGAGAGGCTTGGACTTGACTTAAAAGACTTGACTGCTTGACAGTGCTACTTACACTCAGCATTTCTTGAGTTCTTCTGTGTGTTAAATATGGAAAAAACTTACTTTAAATGGATGTAAATGAAATGATCTTCTGCCTCAGAAATCTTGCCCAAGTGCTTCAGACATAAACCCTTTAACAGCTTTATCAAACATTGGTCATCTGCTAGTAATTCTGTAGCTGCAAGATAAAGTAACCGTTTTATCAGTTTTGCATTTTGAAATAACTTGGTGCCTTAAAAAAAAAATTAAACATTGCTGTTCCAAAAATACTTAGCAGGCACATTTTCAAAACCTCTTTGCAACAGTTGAGATTTTCAGAGCATTTTTTTTTTTTATTTGTATGGCACTAGTGCCCCATTCAGACTGGCTGGATTCTCTACACTTCTTGTGAGATAGCTGCTGCCCTTTGGAGTTTATGGTCTAAGGCCCTGATCTGCAATCAGAGATGCACTAGAACCTTTGCATCCTCACGGACATTCATGGCGTGTACACGATCTGTTCTTTCAGTGCAGGCACTAGGGTCTGCATACATGACCTGATAGGGACTCCACTTAAGAGAAGATGCACAAGTAGCTGTTTAAAAAGCAAAGTTGCTTCCCATGGGGAAAGGAAGAGAAGATAAAAGTGATGGGATCACATTGTTCCAGACTAGTTATGTGCACAGTTAAGTGGGTTAGAGCCTGCAAGGTTTTTTTTTCTTCCAATAAGATAAGTCAAATGTATATCAGCAATCTCCACTGGCCATCTATTCTGTGAACACATTTACATGTATGCACTTTTTAAAATGTATAATGTATCCTGCCACTGATATGCACGTTGTATAAACTAGTCATTGAGGGCCCAATCCTGGAAATACTTATGCACGTGAGAATTTTATTCCCATGAACACTTCCATTAACTTCAACGGACTTCTTACAGCATATACCATCAGTCACATACATGTTTGCTGGATTAGGTCTTTATAGTGTTAGATCCGTGCCCCAAGGATTTCAGTCTAACTTGGTCTCCTTCTGTATATTGCTATTTAAATGGACATTGTCAACTTGAAAAATCACACTTTTGTAAAACATATTACTGCTAATTGTAACACCTAAAGGCATTAGAGAAAAAAAACTGCTTTTAGTATATACTTCTCATTTAAAATATACAGCACTTTTCAGACCGTATCCTCAAGGCACTTTACAGTCATCGATGAGCCTCAACAAACTCTGCAAGGAAGTTTGCATGGTTTGCAAACTGGCACATGCTGACCCATGACACAGTAGCAGAATGGGTGACTGAGGCAGCAAAAGTCCCTTTTCTGACCATTACCCCAAACTCCCTTCCCTTCAGCTAAAAGGTTCCCCCCCACCACCACCTTTTTCAGAGTTAAAAAGGGGACAAACTTGCCTGATACTTCAAGCAACTCATATGCCTCAGACTGACTTAAAAGTTCAATTTTCAATGTTTCAAGCTGAATTACTAGTTTTTCTAGATGTTCACTGAAGGACACAAGCCACCAGCTGATGACAATGTCATTCCCTGACCAAATGGGCTAGGAAGATGCCTCTCAGGTCTCTGGGCCTAGGGAGATACTAATGATGAGTATTACTAAGTAGCTGAATGACACCTGCTGGACAAGCAACAACAACATTAACAGCATTCTTCAGAGAATTTAACTTGTCTGCTGGCTGGAGAATAGTTGTGGTAACGTGCAGTGTATATGCAGGGAAGACTAAGGTTCTAGAAAGGATTTCAGGGTGTTGATTTGACCCAGACTCCACTGTCATGGTAAGGTCTGAACCTTTCACAGAAAGGTGGCGAGTGTAGATGAGAATGAAAGGTTTGTAGTATAGGGGGAATTGCAGGGCAGCTGTGCAGGCTGGGGAACCCCTGCTGGACTGGGGAGACCAAAAATAAAAGATGGAGAGAAAAAACAGCAATTCTACTCTGCCATGCCGGTCTAGTTAACACACTGAAACCAGGCATGGTATAAGAGTCTGACCTAATTTTGTACCATTCCCTTCTTATGCTCCAGTTTTTTTGCACAGTCCATTTAAGTGTAAGTGTTTTACAGCAAATAGTTAACTCACAGATATCAGTCAACCCTCCAGCTTGTTGGTTAGTAGGTGATGGTGCTTTCTATAAATCAGCTTGACGCTTGTCTCCTCCACTGTGTTCTTTAGAACTGAAATAATACAGTACCTGCATATAGCGAAGCATGTGCAGTTTGTGGCCTGTCACCCATAGTGTAATTGAAGTCAATGCAAATGATAAATTTGACCCTTAGATTTAAATATGTATTTTGTAAAAGAAATGGTCTTTCAATACATATTTGTGGACGGTTCCTAAGATGCATCCTGTAAGTGACAAGTCTCTTATGCCATATTACAAGTTAATGCATTAATAGAGGAATGTTATTCCTATCTGTATTAACAACACATGGTGACATAATCCAGCTCACTCTTGTGACTGTATTAACTTGTTTTACTAGCTGGAAAACTTTTATTCACAGACGACCAGAATATCTTCAAGTATATATACTACTGTAAAGCACCTGCTTAAATCAGATCAGTGCTTACCTGGGCTTCTTTCCAGAGCTGCTTCTGCCTCAGTTAATGTCTGCAACATGCCTTCTGTTAAATCAGGACATTTTCCAATCACAGCATAGCCATTCCAGATATACATCATTTCCTAGGGGTGGCCAGAGAACACATTTCATTAATGTGGCAATGGAGAGATGTAGGTAGCTAATTATTTAAGCAAAGGCCTGAAGTTACGAATTCCTTCCTAGGTGCGGATACTGCTGATATGGCCTCACTGTAACTTATTGCTAAAAGCAAATCGTGCTGGAAGTCTAAGTTTTATTAGCAAAACCAACGAGGAGTCCTCATTGTTTTTGCTGATACAAACTGACACGGCTACTACTCTGAAGTCCTATTAAGTCATCTAGTCCACTTCTTCCCTTTGCCAATACAGATCATTTGAGTAGAACACCAACCCTCTCTCTGTAATATAGGAGGCAGCTCTGAAGCTGAGACACAGATTGGAGGACTGGATGGCTCAGTATATCATTGTCAACTAAACGATATAAGGTTTTTGGAATAAATTCTATACAGCCAGTCCTATTGGTTTCATCCCTATTCATTCTGTATGGCTTTTCCATTGGGGCAGTTCACTGGCCTACAGGACATGAGCCTAAGCTCTATTCTAAATGCGAATAAGAAGTGCCTATCACTACAATCACCATCACATCTGGGACTTTTAGAAGAAGAGTTAGAGAGAGAGTTATTATGGAGACTTATTAGAACCTTTCTTTACCTGTTTCTAAAAGGGCTATTTTGTAACTTAAATGTTTCTTATTTCTAAATTCCCGCACACGTTAAGTTTATTCTAGGGCTGATAAGCAAAGGCATTTGCTATAGCTGAGCTATTTGTTAATGGTGGAGGAGACAGTGCTGTGCTTGTCTCTAGTGAAGATTCAGTTGCGTGGGTGGTTATAAAAGGACCCCAAACTGCATTTTTCCATCGTTTAAATAAAAACTTTCTGGGATAAATCTGTGAGTTAGGACCTGATTCCAACAAGCAAGTTCCTTCCCACCCAAATGAAAAGTCCTAGAAAGTAGAGCAGTTCAGTTAAAATTCGGTTATAAATTGCTTGTTACCTGAACCCCAACTCCATCCATCCCCTAGTCTTTAACAATTAGAGAGTGACACCTGGTGCCTTGAAAGTGCAATTGCAGCAAATGGAAACCGGATACTTAGCAAGAAGACTTGCTAGAGAAACCTGTTGCACCATCACATAAGACCAGCCCCAGCAAAACTCAAGTGTGGCTGTTTCTGGCTTCCAATGGCGTATGGAAACCTATTGGGTGTGGATGCAAAGTAATTTTCACTAGAGGTGACCCCATTATTGGCCTCCACCTAAATCCTTGGATCTTGTTGAAACTGGTCCTTAAGGGATTATGCATGCTGAGTTGACGTGCAGTTGCAACAGAGACTGAATTTTGAAACAAACCATGGTATCACATTTTACTGCCAGTGGACTGAGAGAAGAGTACTAGCTATGAATGTACACTCTCTCAGGTCAGGCACTCATGAGTGAAACTATAAGAGGAGATGTACTGACCCCCCCAAAAAAGAGCAAAATGATTCTTTGAGTTGTCTTTAAGATACATACCAACCAAGACTCTTAAAGGAAATGCCTGACCTGAGAGACAGCATACAACTAGACAAAACAGCTGAATTGGTTAGAAAATTTTCCAGTTGTTGTGAACATGGGTGGCACGCTCAAAAGCGATGAACCCAGAGTTCAGGCTCTGATGTGAACCACACTTAGCAAACCTACAGAACCTAGATCCCCTGCTATTCTCTCACCATTCTCCAGGGATTGGCTTTCACATGAGTGCAGAGGTGGTCCTCTCCTAATGCTCCACCAATGAGACTTCAGAGCAGTTATTCTTATTTGGCCCTGGGGGGGGGGGGGGGGGGGAATCAGCCAGGGATGGATGTCCAGCACACACAGCAGTGTTCCAGTCTGGCTGCAAAGAAGTGGCTGAATTTTGTCCTCCTAGCCATTACGTACCCTAGAGCATAGCTGCTAATCTTTCAAACTGAGCTTCCAACATTCACGTTCAGGTTGGCTAGACTCAAAACTATCTAGTTTCACCAGTTTTTGCCTGTTTCCTGCCTAATGTTCTCCCCAGCTGTACCCGGAATGCTGGCCCAGTGAATGAGACTTTGAAACATAGGTACCAAAAGTAAAGTCTACCGGAGCACGAACAGTGAAAAGCTGTGGAGTGTGTTGTAGTCTAAAAAGTGAAATAGTGAGTTGCACATGCAGCATATTCAGGTGTGACACATCTGGCTTCATTTCCCAGAGTGCAGCACATGCCCCAGTTTTACATTCTTTGCATTTGCGAGATTAGGTCCTGGGAACATTTCAGGCTCTTGGAGGGGGGTTCGACATATACCATTCTAAGTATCTAATTTTTGTCTCCATATTGTGAATTACTGAAAAATATAGGAGGAATAAGACATCTTTCCAGCCTACCAACGCAGGCACAGGCAAAGGAACCGGGTTTGAGGGAAGGTATCTCCGAGATTTCCGAATGGCAAACTTCTCTGTAGGCAGTGACTTCCCTGCAATTTTCAGTTTCAAACTAGGCACAGTCCTGGAAGATTAAAAGCAGCTAAAGTCATTTTTGCCCCGCTGAATAGCTGGAAAAACCCACTCAAACTAAAACAAAAAAAATTAAAAAGACCGATTCCTTGAGAGGTGTTGACATGTAAAGACCAACAAAGCCATCGCCTGAGGAATACCACATCCCGTGAAATCTTTCTTGTAATGAACTCTGAGAAAATACAGATGCCCTGAGTAGTTTCAATGTACAAACTGCAATCTGGGTAAGAGGAAATCTGCAGTAACTAATTTATGTTTTTAAGGACCTGTGAGGGGGTGTCCATCCCACACAAGGCCTGGAGGGGTTACGGTGGCTAAGTGGGCTAATTCTGTTGCACCTGGAGGACCACCCAGGGGGTGGGGATTAATTAGATGAGAGTCAGCTGGAGGGGAACAGGAGTGGCCTGTATAAAGCCCAGGAGCTGAGAGTAGAAAGCAGCTGCAGGGAAGTAGTCCTCAGTCACCCCCTGGGTGAAGGGACGTGTGTTTGGGACTATGGAGTGTAGCCTACAGTTATTCCCTGGGAGGAGGGAGTTTAGGCTGGCAAACCTGAGGCAGTGGGGACGGGGAGAGACAGAAAGGTAGGAAAAGCTCAGGGGAAAAGCAGCAAGGTATAGGATAGTGCAGACTTTGGCTGCAGATCAGAGGGTCCCTGAGCTGGAACCCAGAATAGAATGTAAGCCTGGGTTCCCCTACCAGCCGTTGGGGAAGTTTCACAAATCAGAAGAAAACGGACTTCCTGGGAATGTTTGCCCCAAAACACTTCAGTGCCCGGGAAGGGGAGGACCGTAGCGAGCTGGCTGGAGGGCCAAGTCACAAAGAGGAAGCTGGAGCAATAGGGATCTCAGTGAGAGCGACCAACAAAGGAGGTTGTAGCACCTGGAAGGAGCTAATCCCCAGAGCAGACAGGAGGCGGCGCCCCTAGCAGTGAGTGGGTCCATGACGACTACATAAAGCTTTTTATACAGTAAGTGGTATGGATCATCTCTTAGAATAAAGCTATTTTAAAAATAAAACTACATTTTATAAGAGGATTTTACTGTAACTAGTTGATTAAACTGAAGCAGCAGTCAGGCATTTTTTGAGCATAAACATCAGAACCAGATTCAAGTTACAGTTCCAATAATGTGCATGCACACCCCCTGGCTCGCCCTCCTGAGCCTTTCAGAGTGCTACCAGATGCCAAGCCCCAGGCTCACAGTTGTATTGAGGCTGCCTCCAACAGCCTTTTATCAGGACACACATCTTGTAGTGAAATCTGTACAAGGCTTTCAGAAAACTCATGCCAACTGTAACTACCGGGAACAATAGAAAAAAACAGAGAAAATGTTGCATGCAATAGCAGCAGCCACTTGTAGCAATGATAAAATAGAAAGTGATATTAATTCAAAGCATTTCTGGGCCAATGGGAAGTTGAAATATACTCAAGGGCAGCTGAAAACTTTCCAAAAATGTTAGTATAGTTAATGGGGAATTATTTTGAGCATCTGACACTGTATTTTATTTTCTCTCTCTCTCTCTCACACACACACACACACACACACACACACACACTTATTTGTGTGGGCCCTGCAGTCAGATAGTCTGAAACGCCTAAGCAAATTCGGATGATATCTTCACACAAATCTGCATCTTATTAACCCTACAGAATCAGTAACTTTTCCTCTCTACTCCCAACACCTGATTTACATTCATTGTTGCAAGTCATTTGAAAAGGTAAGGAATGGAATAGTGTCCTAGTTGGGACCTTCTAAATCTTACCTAAACAGTTCCACTTCATTATCCCCAAAGGGTCCGTGATCATCTGGTCCAAACATACTGAGATAGGCAGCTTTCATGTAAATATAGGTAACCTACAGTGAAGAGCAAATGCTGTCAACATCATCTGTACAGTAAATTGTATTCACAGCAGCATTGATTTCAAAGCCAACATGATGGTACTGTTAAGGAGGGAAACCTCTGTTGCTTTTCCTTGTAAACTCAAGTAATATTACAAAACACTTAAGAGGAGAGTCAGTTTTCCAACTGAGATATGTGCATAAGACCCAGTACTTTCAAAAGAGAGTACAGAAGAGCTCATGTTATGGTATCTTTTATTGTTTTTAGTTTGCTGTGTTTGTACCAGTTTTTATTTCCATTCTATGAATATTTGTGTGTGTGCAACAAAAAAGAAGCTTCCCTATTAAAGAGAACTAATTAGTGATTAATCACATAAGAACTCCTGAGTAATACACGGTCAAAAGTGCAGGGTGCTGGAAGATGTTCTAGTGAATGCCAAGGGAAGGTAGAGTATAATAATTCGTTACTTCCTGAGTGTTGCTGTAGTGGCCATCACAGCAGGGGACAGCAATTACCATAGGACATGGAATTTATGCTTGAATGGAGTTTTCAACAATCATGCATATGCAAAGGCTGGTTCTGTGATTGGCTGTTGCCCTCGGAAATCACGCGGCCACATGCCCACAAAAATGCCCCTCAATTTCTCATTTCATCCTGTTTATAATTTAATTCACATTTTCAACAAACGTTCAGTATGCAAACCCTGGTTCTGTGATTGGCTGCTGCCCACAGAACTCACGTGAAGGTGTTTCTCATGAGCTCTACAATCTCTTATAGACACCTTAGTCTTTACCATCAGAGTTTACTGCAGCCCCCAGGATATGGGTCTGATTTCCCTGTTCTGCATAGTGACCTCCAGGAAGGGGTCAAAAGAACAGACACTTTGGCAAGGTTCAGCTTGCAGTGCTCCAGGACATTATTGCCTCTGGTGGGAGAAGTTTTGGTGGCTGCAGAATAGGCAGCAGCAAGGCCTCTCAGCCCCAGAGATCCATGGCAAAGGCAAGCCTGACATTGGTTTAGACAGAAGCGATCATACATGGATGGCTGCCCCGCTGTGCAGTTGTGCTGCCCCCCACTCTACCTCCTGGCCACTTGACTTCAGCAGGAGCTGTGACAGGGCCAATGCCCTGGTTCCATCAGCTGCTGACCAAAGAACCCAACTGAGGTGCTGCTGTCATGGGGCTCGGATAAATGAGGAGGAGGGAGATAGTCAGTGTCAGAGAGACAACACCCCCTTCCATTTCCAATGTGTTGGGCCAGATCTGCTCACGAGGGGGGCTATGTAGTCCCTTAAACCAAGGAATTTGCCCTGGTTACAGTTATTACCTAGTAGGCACCATCATGTTTAACTCTCATTACAAAACACTACCTTCCACATTGTCACCAAAAAGCTCATGTTCATTAATGTAACTGCAATAAAAGAAATAACGACCTACC